TGTGTGTGTGTGTGTGTGTGTGGTCTATTTGTCAGCTCTGTCAACTTGAGGGACCCTAAAAGCACTGATACCATAGTAGCAATGAGCTCCCTTAGCACCCAGATCTTGTTTTCTAAATTCCATTCTCCATTAAGGGAACCAGGGCTCCTTGGAGACATGGCAGATTCTAAGGCGAGGACATGAGAAAATAAGATGAGCCTAGATCATCTTTTCATGACAGGAAGTTAAAAAAAAAAGTTATCAGAGAATAATGAGGCCATGTCAACAGAACACAGGGCCCAGTTTGGAGGGGCGTCCCTGACTAACTCTCAGAGCATTCAAGCACCAAGATGAAGCATGAAAATAAGGGATGACAACCTACTTTTTATAAATAAGAATCAATGGTTCATACTGACATCAGTTACTGGGGTAAAGGAAAGGATTCCTCCTTCCAGAAATCCAACTAACAAATGTAAAGGAAACGATACCCCTAAATATGGAAAATCACTGTTGGATCACCATTTTAAGTATTAGTTCAGACAAGAATCCAAATGAATACTAGGGGCCCAGAGCTGTGGTGCAGTAGATTAACCCTCCACCTGTGGCGCTGACATCCCATAGGGGCACCAGTTCATGTCCCGGGTGCTGCTCTTCTGATCCAGCTCTCTCCTATAGCTTGGGAAAGCAGAAGAGGGCCCTAGTTCTTCAGTCCCTGCACCCATGTGGGAGACCTGGAAGAAGTTCCTGGCTCCTGGCTTCAGATCAGCCCAGCTCCAGCCATTGTGGCCATTTGGGGCGTGAACCAGCAGAAGGAAGACTTCTCTGTCTATAACTCTACCTCTCAAATAAATAAATAAAATCATTTAAAAAATTTAAATAAAAGGCAAATGAATACTAAAGTTATGGAAAAGCCAGTATGAAAAGCAACAAGCTATTTGCATAATCTGAAAGTATCTCCTCACAAAATACTAGTTAAAGAGGTGGAGAAACCTGACAGATATCTCCTTAACCAAGCAACCAGTTAAAATCACCAACAATGGGACAGACAGAATGATATCATGAACCAGGACAAAAGATGACTTCTGTGGTCTTTCTGCCAAGAAAGCATTGCCTGAATTATATCCTGAGGAGATATTAGATAATTCTGAAGTGAGAGAGTCTGTATTCCTTTTTTTTTTTTTTTTTTGACAGGCAGAGTGGATAGTGAGAGAGAGACAGAGAGAAGGGTCTTCCTTTGCTGTTGGTTCACCCTCCAATGGCCACCATCCAGCACCCCGACTGGGACTAGAACCCGGTGTGCCGGCGCTGGTAGGTGGAGGATTAGCCTAGTGAGCCACAGCGCCGGCCGAGAGTGTATTCTTCAAAGAGCCCACCAGACCTCTCTAAAGATATCAAGGTTTTACAACGCAGACTCAGACATTGTTCCAGGATAAAGAAGACTAGAGACATGAGCACTGATGTGTTTAGGGCTTTCTTTGTTTCTAAAGAACACACTAGGTCAGCTGGAAAGCTCTCAACAGAGTCTTAGGTTAGATAATAGCACTGTATCAGTGTTCATCTCCTGAGTCTGATCGTTGTATTGTAGTTGTGTAAGAGAATTTTGCATCATATCGGCAACATACTAACACTTCAAGGGAAAAACAATAGAGATAGAGGCAGAATGATAGAGTCAAGATGTTAAAATGTTCATATTTGGGGAATATTGATGAAGAGCATATGGGAATTCTTTGTACTACTTTTCCAAACTTTTGTGAGATTAAAATTACATCAAAGTATAAAAACTTTTTGCCTATTGCCCTAAGGAGACCTCAGGAAATCTCCTGTTATCAGACCACAAAGACCACTTACCCACGGCTAGCAGAGAGAGGGCTGGGACCCAGGCCTCTCTAGCATTCTGACTTTTGTTGGGTGTAATCACAGTATTTTTAAATAGCTTGTTAGAGATGCATACTGGAATATTTATGGGTAAGATTATGGGAAACATGAGATTTGCTTTAAGGCATTCCAGCGAAAACAAAAGCAGGAACAAAGGGTGGAGGGAGCAGATAGATGCAATAAGATTGGCAGCAGACTGATCATTGTGAAGTTGGAGAGCGGGCATGTGGATGACAGTGTACAATTCTCTTGACTTTTTTGTCTACATGGAAAGCTGTTTTATAAAGAGGATTTGATTTTGTAAAATAAAAGACTTTTGTTAACAAGAAAACCACTGCCACAAAGCATCACTGCCTGGCTTCCCAGGGGAGGCACAGGGCCTTCGAACAGGCTTTCACGTGGCAACGATGTGTGAGCTGGAACTTGGTGATTTCATGAGCTTGGCTCTTCTGTGTCACTGGAACGGCTTATTTCTTGTTGGGTTACAGCTCAAGGGACTGGAAAGGTCGGAAGTGGGCTGACGGGGTTAGAGGGAGACAGAAGACTTGCTGAAGCCCCAAGAAACGCTGGAATCATGGCTGCCTAAGCTGTGCCTCATTGGCAAAGGGCCTGCTCTGGGCTGGACTTCCCAAAACCCCTAAACACCTCTCACCACCCAAGACATAGACAACAGCTATGCCTCATGGTGGCTTTCCAGGGTCACCCAGAAAAACACCTGCTATCCCACAAGACAGGAAGTACATAGTTTACATTCTGCAGAAATTTCTCATGCAAGCTGGGTAGTCTTTTCCCCCAAAGCTTTGGTAAGGATTAAACTTCAGCTATCTGGAAAGAGCCATCCATCTACCACACTTACCTTCTCAAAGGACATCACTTACAGACAGACATGAGAGAATACATGGGGATATCTTTTTTTTTTTTTTTTTTTTTTTTTTGGACAGGCAGATTTAGACAGTGAGAGAGAGAGACAAGGTCTTCCTTCCGTTGGTTCACTCCCCAAATGGCCACTACAGCCAGAACTACACCGATCCGAAGCCAGGAGCCAGGTGCTTCCTCTTGGTCTCCCATGCGGGTGCAGGGCCCAAAGACCTGGGCCATCCTCCACTGCCTTCCCAGGCTACCGCAGAGAGCTAGACTGGAAGAGGAGCAACCAGGACAGAACCGGCGCCCCAACCGGGACTAGAACCCGGGGTGTACCAGCATCACAGGCAGATGATTAGCCTAGTGAGCCACAGCACTAGCCAACATGGGGATATCTTGTGAGAAGGAGCAAGGGGAGTTTAAGAAAAGGAGAGAAGCAGCTACCCATGCTGATGCTGATTTACCAAGAGGAAGCCAGTGAGTTGGGTTTCACACGTAGCAATATGTTTATTCGGGCGCAGGGAGCAAAGGATGTGCAAGCAGATGAAGGCAGCCCAGGTGGGCAGTCCCACTGATGCCTGTCTCTCAGCAGTTCCTGGAAGACAGTAGTCAGACCAAGCAGGAGCCGGAGCAGGGCAGGGGGCCAGGGCGCGGCACTCCACTGAGTAGCAGCTCCGTAAGGCACTTTGCTCACCTTAGTTGATGTTCTCTCCAGGACACCCCTGAAACAGATGTCACAGGTATCCTTGCTGTCCTCCCCGTGAGGAATTTGCCCCAGGTTACATATTAGGGGCTAGCAGTGCGTCATGTCCTCCACCTGATTCCAAAGCCCTGGCTTAGCGTCAGGCTGACGACTCCTGTGTCTGTGTCAAGCCTCATTCTCAGCTGCTTGCACAGCCTAGCCGCCCTGGCCCAGCCTCGAAGGGCATGCTAAAGAGCAAATGCTCTCATGCCTGATTACAGGCCTTTGTCCACGCTAGGCCGTTATACTTATTTTTAAAGAAGTAGGTGCCGAGAAAGATTGTTGGCATTTGCTGATAGCTAACTGTTGAAACACATTTTACCATGGGTCTCTTAGCAAGCAAAGTCTAGACAGACACAGCTGTGCCAAATGGCTGTTGGGGGTTGTTTGAATTTTGTCACTTCAGATCACTAATAACCCACTTACACACTAAGTAGGCACTTATTCAAAGGCAGAACAATTCCTTATGCAATGCTCAACCTGCCATCTGGTCCCATCCTGAATTATGCTAATGAGAAAACACAGAGCTATGCAATGGCAGGGTTGTCTGGAAAAGTCCCAGGGGCTGCTTCAAGGTAGGGAATGTGCGCTCTGAAGCCCAGTTGGAAATCAGAGCGCCGACCAGTGGTGACTAAGCATGTTTTTGTCTTTGTCAAAGGAAGCAATCTCAAGTGAGTAACTAGAGCGCTTTCTTACACAGTAAAAGGCCCTTCTTTTAGCCTTCCCTTTGGCTAAGCCTGGCTCTCTCTGACTCGGGGGCTTCAGGAAGTTTGAGGAAAAATGGAATTAAAAGATAACGTGCATTTTCGGTGAACTATTTTTTATAAAGATTTATTTAATGTATTTGAAAGACAGAGTTACAGAGAGAGAGAGAGGTCTTCCATCCGCTGGTTCACCCCCCAGATGGCCGCAACGGCCGGAGCTGTGCTGATCTGAAGCCAGGAACCAGGAGCTTCTTCCAGGTCTCCCGCATGGATGCAGGGGCCCAAAGACTTGGGCCATCTTCTACTGCTTTCCCAGGCCATAGCAGAGAGCTGGATTGGAAGAGGAGCAGCCAGGACTAGAACCGGCGCCCATATGAGATGCTGGCGCTGGAGGCCAGGACTTTAACCCGCTGCGCCACAGTGCCAGCCCTCAGTGAGCTCTTTAAAGCCTGTCATGTATACATGCAGTAACCACACAAGCAAGCAAGGCTTCCCAGGGCCTTGCTACTTCCAAATCTCTTGCATGTGCTCACTGGATTCTGCATTCCCCACTTTTATTTGAAAAAGGCACCCGCCACTCGTTACCTACCCTTTCAGATGTGAGCCTCAGATATTATAAACAACAAAGGGGAAAAAGGCTTCTGAATTTCAATGCAAGACAGAGAAAAATCACGGTGATGTACCTTGGCTTTTGGTGGAAGTGATTTAGGCAGGCACATAGGATAAAATTGACCAGGTTTGTGAGCTGGAAGACCACGCCTTCACCACGCCCCTGTGTGACCTCATGCCCCTTCCTGACCACACCTGTGCACCCACCTGCCAATCAGACTAATTAACCACTCCCCTTTGGAAGTGGATTAAAGGCCTGGAGCACAGTGGGCCGGGCCCTTCTTTTTCCTCCCTGCCCTTAATCCCCTTGCTGCCCCACACCTTCGGGGCACGTGGCCTTTGGGCCACCCACGGGGCTGGCTCTCGACCTGCTCTCTGCTTGGTAGGAATCCAGACCTCCCTTTCTCATTTAGATAGAGCCCTTGCTCTTCTATGCATTTCTCTCACTAAATAAAAAGCTTAAAAACTTACCACGCTGCCTAGTTTATTTGAGCCAGTATTCAGAATTTTTCTCTGAATTCATGGCAAGAGCCCACACAGCTTATTAATATGGAAATATTAGTAGGCAAATCGCTAAGAGAAGGGCAATGTGGCTCAGCACACACCTCGGTCTCACCTGCTGTGCACCCAGCAGGCCCCATGCGTGTGGCCATGTGCTCTACATTGGTTGTTGGATTTACTTTACTCGTTCCTACAACCCTTTGTGGTTTATTCCTTTTTCAGGAGAATGTCAACTCTCAACGACACTGCAGCTGAGACCTCACAGACAGTAGGACAGCAGAATCCGAGCCCTCCTGCTCATTCTAGAACCACAAGATGCCCCTTGGGAGAGGGCTAGGAACGGACGGAGACTGCGCGATGTAGCTACCACATCCCCCTGCTGCTGCTGGGATGCCCTGGAATAAAGTCAGGACAAGAACGAAGGGCTGGGTCAATTTCTTTCTTTCTTTCTTTTTTTCTTTTCTTTTTTTTTTTTTTTTAACAAAATGGGCTTTGTGCATTTTTTTAATTTAATAAATGTGAATTTACAAAGTGCAACTTTTGTATTTTTGTGGCTTCCCCCGCCCCCAGCCTCCCTCCCTCCCTCCCGCGGCCCTCCCCTCTCCCACTCCCTCTCCCATCCCGCTCTTCATGGAGTTTCATTTTCAGTTACCTTCATATACAGAAGATCAACTTAGTATATAGTAAGCAAGGATTTCAACAGGCTGCACTCACACAACCGCACAAGGTATAGGGCATTGTTCGACTAGGAGTGTTGTTTTTAAGTTTCATAGTAAAACACATTAAGAACAGAGATCCTACATGGGGAGCATGTACCCAGAGACTCCCATTGTTGATTTAACAATTGGCACTCTTATTTATGACGTCAGCAATCACCCGAGACTCTTGCCATGAGCTGTCTAGGCTATGGAAGCCCCTTGAGTTCACCGACTCTGAACTTGTTTAGTCAAGGCTGTATCACAGTGGAGGTTCCTTCCTCCCTTCGGAGAAAGGCGCCTCCTTCTTTGATGGCCTGTTCCTTCTGCTGGGGTCTTGTTCACCAGGATCTTTCATTTAGGTTGTTTTTGCCACCATGTCATGGCTTTCCATGCCTGTGAGACTCCCATGGGCCTTTTAGCCAGATCTGAAGCCCCAAGGGTTGATTCTGAGGCCGGAGTGCTGTTTGGGGCGTTTGCCATTCTATGAGTCTGCTGTGTGTCCTGTTTCCCCTACAGGGTCATTCTTTCCCTTTTAATTCTATCCTTCATTATTGGCTTACATTGCTCTTATTTGTGAAATCTCTTCGACACTTACCCTATCTTTTTGATCGGTTATGTACTTATACTTACCACTTTACCAAGTGCGCTGGCATTGGTACATGGCGGGCTCAATTTCACCACCCATTCTCAGCTGTTCACCCTTTCATCTTCTAGCCTCTGTTATAACTCCGGTTTTTCAGGTTGCAGATATTTGCTTCTTATTCCCACCTAATGATTTCTATTCTTTGTGTGGAGAGAGAATGCCCGGCTGCTCCTCCCGCTCAGCTAGAAGAAGGAAGCCAGGTCAGCAGCAGTCACAGACCTGCATTGCTGCTGGCAGGCAGGGCTGCTCCGAGGCCTTGCCTGTGTGCACTGCTGCATACCAGGATCAAGAAGGGGTCTGTCTGTGCCATGCGGGAAAGCACAGCCAATATCACTACATATGGAAATCCAGATATTGAAATATTTTTGAAAGTAATGTTTATGGGCAAAAACACTTCAGTTTGGCAGGTGTGCTAAGCCAGAAGGCTGCTGAATAAGAAGTGCTTCTGGGGAGCAGACATGAGCCTAGAACCCGGCTCTCCAGGCTCCCAGGCTATGGGGGCAGCACAGTGCCGTGAAGGGCTCCCAACCTCTGCTCAGAAAGCCTGACGCCACCTGCCTATTGATAACTCAGGTTCCTGGTCAGCTGTGGGCAAGACAAGAGGTCTGGGAGACCCCCAAACAGGCTGGACGAGGCAGGGGTGGGGACTGAGATGCCACTGAGACCTCCCTGCTTTGCTCTAGATACTCTCTCCATGAGCTCCTCTGGTTGCTTGTGGGAGCAGAAGGATGCCCAGCTGTGATTGGTGGGAGGCCCTATGAGCCTCATCCGTCAGAATCTGTGTGCCTCCCTCCAAGGCCAGTATGGCAGGAGGCTAGTGCTGGCTGATTTAGGCGGCATCCAGAAGGCCTTGCTGCCGTTGGCGTCAGGTGCCAGGATCTACAGGAGCCAGTGACTCCTGTGCCGACTCCCCATTCTCAGTCAGGGCTTGTCTACAGCCCGAGGAGGTACAGGTGGCATGCGACCAGGGTCTCCCATAGGTGGGGTGTAAGTGTCTCAGCGACAGGTGGTGCCTGACTTCCCCCTGGCTCCAATCACCACCATCCTGCTAGGCCTCACTGGCACCCCTGGCCCCTGGGTAGCTCTGTGTCACAAGCAGGGGTGTTACTGGGAAGCAGTGACTGTCCCTTAATTGGGGGGGGGGATTCCTCTGCTTTCTTCCCCACTCCCCAGAACCTGGGACTGTGGAGGCCACCTGCCTCCCTGCTCCCAAACCTGCCCAGCTTGTTTCGTGCTCAGAGCTGGTGGGAAGGAAGGCTAAGGGACACAAGGGTGTACTGAGTTGAATAGTGTCCCAGCCAAATTCGTGTCCACCTGGGTCTTTGCACAGGTAGACGTGACAGTGAGATCCTACTCAAGTACAGTAGGCCTAAATCCAGTGGCTCGTGTCCATCCAAGAAGGCCTTGTGAAGATGGAGGCAGGCGGCGAGACATGTGTCTGCAGACCCAGGATGGCCACCACCTGAGGCTGGGAGAGAAGCAGGGGACAGACTCTCCCAAGAGCTGCCAGAGGATATGGCCCTGCCGACACCTTGATTTTAGTGAGAAAATAAATTTCTGTTGTTTGAAGCCATTTGGTTGTTGCTACTTTGTTATGGCAGCCCTAGGAAATTGAGTCAGAGGGAGGGAGGGCAGGAGGGGAGGAGATGAGGGGGGAAGAGGGAGGGAGGGAGGGAGGGAGGGGAGGAGGAAGGAAGAAAATATTTTTGATAGCTTACTACATGCCAGATTCCATATTCAATGATTTCACAAGTTATCTCATTTCATCTTCAAAACAGCTGAGGGGTAGATATCATTATTCTCACTTGAGAAAACAATGCCTGCTTAAGTAACTTGTCCTGGATCACTAAACTGGAATGAGGCAGAGCTAAAATTCCCCTTTTTGTCCTTTATCTCTTCCCCTCAGGGCCTGAGGAGTGAGGGGGTCAACAATGCAATGATGCATTGTGGGAGAAGCCACCCTGGGAGTCCCTGTGTACTGAAAGGGGGGCCATCCCCTTGTGGTCTCCCATTATGACTCATGTCCAGGCACATGGGGCAAACCTGGCAGAGAGATGGGCGAGAAGGGCCCTTAGCAGCCCTAAACTCAAGCTCTGTCCTCTTCTAGATAAACCCGTGTGGTTGGGATAAGAGGTTTCTCAATATTCCTCCGACACCCAGGGTTCATCATGCTACTTCAAAGCCATTTTCAAAATCAACATGCAGGCCACACATGATGGTCATGGTGCAGGTCATGAAACCCAAAGCGATGCTCTTAATTTTTGCCTGCAGAAAAGCTAAGGCTGCTCAGACGGAACACATGAGCCCTGTCACTGGATTCAGTGCAAGGACCAGCTCCTTCTGCCACCACCAACAAATGCATGTCTTCCAGGAACCTGTGACTGCGACCTGATTTGGGACTTTGCAGACATAATCAAGTTAAGGTGAGGCCATTTAGGGTGGGCCCTAAATCCAACACGAGCAGTGAGTATCCTTTTGAGAAGAGATTTCAACACAGAGACAAAGCGAGCAGACAGTGAAGACAGAGGCAGAGACAAACCAAGGAAGGTTAGGGCCCACCAGGAGCTGGAAGAAGAAATGAAATATTCTTCTCAAGAGCCTTCAGAGAGAGAGAACAGCCCTGCCAGCAACCTGACTCTGAACTTTGGGTCTCTGAACTATGTGAGGACAAATTCCTGTTGTCTTAATCTACCCAGTTTCTGATACAATTGATCCCCCGCTAGTTGAGAATTCCATATTCACAAATGTACCCACTTGCTAAACGTTAGCCCCCAAAATCAATACTCACCACGCTGTCAAGGGCATTCACAGACACCGACAAAGTGGTGATAAACTGTCATCGTACAGGAAGTTTCCGGCTGAGTTGGAGCAAGAGGACGCTCCACATTCTTTCATTTCTCATGTGAATAGCAGGTGCTCTTGTGGCGGTCTCGTTAGTGTCACATTCTTCACACTTCTGTGCTTTCTATTGGTGATTTTGCTGTGTAAAATGCTCTCCCCTAGGCACAGGGCTAAAGCGCTTTCTGGTGTTTCTGAGTGCAAGAAGATGGTGAGTGCTTTGCAGCAAAACTATGTTAGACGAGCCCTCTTCAGCTTGTGCAAGCATGAGTTACAGTGCTGCTAACTGTGTGCAATGTTCATGAGTCAACTACATCTATTAGATGCAGTGTCTGCAACTAGAAGCCTGCATAACAGGAGGTTATACATTATTGATTAACAAAATTACTGTGACCAGAGACCGCCAGGAACCTACCTGTGCTTCCCCTAGGAGCGCTGGTTCAGATTCACTGAGTCCATGTTTGCCACAAATGCACAGAACATTACTGCCAATAATGAGAACCAACCGTGTGGGGAGCAACCCGGACTAGACTAAGTTACTGGAGTTAAGACTTATTCTATACATCTGCTCTCCCACAATATGGCGCTGAGAAGGGAGAAACAGCTTCTACGCAGCTGCCTTTCGCCAATTTGATTGACTGAGCTGCAGGAGCTGATCTTGCTCCTGATTGGAGGAGAGCAGCGTACTTGGCGTGTGGGCAGCCGAGTTGGGATTGGCGGAAGAGGACTATAAAGGAGGAGAGAGACAACATGCACCAGGAACATCTAAGGGGAACATCTATCTGAAGGAACACCTGTGCAGCCCCCGAGAGAGCCGGCCGGCGGTGTGCCGCTCCCCTGCGGAAGTGGAGAATGTGGCCAGGGGGAACCGCCCTTCCACAGAGGTGGAAGGGACAGTAGCCAATCCGGGAAGAACCAGCAGCAAACCCCGGGAGGGCCGAGCAGACGAAAGAACAGCGCAGGGTCCTGTGTCGTTCCTCCACGAAGACGGGGAGCGACATAATGGTGCCGTGACTCGGATATGAAGCCTAGGCAGGGTTTAGTGTCGTTCCTCCATGAAGAGGGGGAGCGACACAACCGCATTGTGTTTTAGCAGCCCTAAGGCACCAAAGGAAGCCCTTTCCTCCTTACCCAGCACCTTGCAGGCCTCTTGGATGAATTTAATGGTGATGACGTCATCGTTTACTGTGTGCGTCATGAAGGCGTCTTGTACTTCTGCAGAAGCTCTGGAAGGTAAATCGAGGTGCACTAAATACCCAACAATGGGAGCTTTGC